TTACACAATCCCAAAAACAGAGAGAAAAAAGAATGAAGGAAAATGAATCGTCTCAGAGAAATGTGGCACACCATTAAACACATATGCATAATGTGGGAATCAAAAAAAGACAATAAAGAGAAAGGAACAGAAAAATATATCCAAAGAAACAATGGCTGGGAAATTCCCAACTTTATTCAAAAACATTATTTAGAAAGCTCAACAGACTCCAAAGAGGATAGGATAAATGCAAAAGGATCCAGAGGCACATCATAGAAAATACTGAAAGCCAAAAGCAAGAAGAAAATCTTGAAAGCAACAAAAGAAAAATGATTTGTCACATACAAAGTAAACTCAATAAAATTAAAACAGTTACCTTCTCATCAAAAACAATGGATGCCAAAGGCAGGGGGATGACATGTTCAAAGTGCTAAAAGAAAGGACTGTCAACCAAGAATCTTATATCCAGCAAAACTATCTTTCAAAGGTGAAGGCAAAATAAAGAGACTTCCAGATAAACGAACACTGAGAAAATCCATTGCTAGCTGACATACCTTACAAAAAACACTAAAGGGAGTTCTCAAAGCTAGTAAATGACCCTAGATAGTCATTTGAATCCACATGAAAAAATAAACCTGCTCCTTTTTAAATAGATTCACTCATTCACTTAACAATATTTACTGAATGCCAACACTGAGCCAAGCACTATTCTAGATGGCTAGGGATTTAGCAGTGAATAAGACAGATACCTTGCCCTTATGGATATTCTAGATAATAAATAATAATCAATGATTAAATGACAGAATCCAGAAGGTGACTGAGTCCTTAAAAGCAAAACAAACACACCAAAAAGAAGTGATATGTAATGAAGGTCTGTGCCAGAAATGGGGTAGAGGTAACAGAATTCATTACTAAATAGGGTGGTCTGGGAAAGATCTCATCGATAAGGAGAAGTTTGAGAAAAGAAAAAAATATTTGGGAACATGAGGGAATTATCAAAGCAGATATCTGGGAGAAGACTATCCTAGGTAGAGGTAAGAGCTAGTACCAAGGCCCAAAGACAGAAACAAGATGTGTTTGCAGACCAGCAAGCAGTGTGACTGGAGTGAAAAGACCCAGAGAGACTTAGGATCTATAATCTATAGGGAGATGGTAATGATAAGGTAGAGCCAGATCACAAAGGGCCTTCCTGACTCTTGTGGTGACTCTGGCTTTCGCCCTAAAAGAAAAATGAAGCTATTACAGGGTTTTGAGCAGAGGAGTGAAATGATCTGGTTTACATTTTTTCTGTTAAGCTCTCTAGCTACTACACTGAAAACAGACTGCAGACATGGTGATCTGTGAGCAGGGCAACTGCACCTCAGTGCCCGTAGGGGAGTGGTGGTGAGAAATGATTAGATTTGGGACGTTTTGAAGGTAGAACCCACTGGATTTATCAGTGGATGTGGGGTGTGAGAGGAAATATGGATGATTCAGAGTATTTTGGGCCCAGGCAACAGAAATAATGGAGTTGCCTTCAACTGAGATAAGGAAGCTGTGAGTAGAGCAGGTTTTGGAAGAGGTGATACTCAGAATCCAGTGTGAAGTATGTTAAGCTTCCGATGCCTTTAAAATTCTTAGAAGAAAACACAAGGGTAAATCTCCATGACGTTGGATTTGACAATGGATTCTTAGATAGGACATCAAAAGCCTGAGGAGCAAGAAATATAAATAAATAAACTGGACTTTATCAAAATTAAAAACTTCTGTGCTTCAGAGGTCACTATCAAAAAAGTGAAAGGTGAACCTACAGAATGGGAGAAAATATTTGCAACTGACATACCTGATAAGGGACTTGTACCTAAGATATATAAAGAACGTTAACAACTCATAGTAAAAAGACAAGCAGTCCAATTAAAATAAAAAACAAAGGATATGAATAAAGCATTTCTTCAAAGAAGATATACAAATGGTCAATAACCACATGAAACGATGTTTGACATTCTTAGTCACGCAAATCAAAACCATAATGAAATATTATTTCACATCCACAGGAATGGCTGTGATAAAAAAAAATCAGATAATAACAAGTGTCGGTGGGGATTTGGAGAAATTGGAATACTCATTCATTGCTGGCACAAATGTAAAATGGTTCAGCCACTTTGAAGAACAGTCTGACAGTTCCTCAAACAGGTAAACACAGAGTTACCATATGACCCAGTAATTACACTCCTAGGTATATACTAAAAAGAAGTAAAAACGTATGTCCACCAAAACTTGTACATCTATATATAGCAGCATTATTCATAATAGCCAAAAGGTAAAAACATACTAAATGTCCATCAACTGATGAGGTAAAAAAGCAAAATGTAGTGTGTCCATACAATAGAATATTCTTCAGCCATAAAACAGAGTGAAGTTCTGACATGCTACCACGTAGATGAACCCTGAAAACCTTATGCTAGGTGAAATAAGCCAGGCACAAAGGACCACATATTGGGGTGCCTGGGTGGCTCAGTCAGTTGAGCATCTGCCTTCAGCTCAAGTCATGACCCAAGGGTCCTGGGATAGAGTCCCACATTGCATCATGCTCTCTGCTCAGTGGGGAGCCTGCTTCTCCCTCTCCCTCTGCCTGCAGCTCTGCCTACTTGTGTTCTCTCTCTGTTGAATAAATAAATTTTTTTTTAATCTTAAAAAAAAAAGACCACATATTATGTGATTCCATTTGTAGGAAATGTCCAATATAGGCAAAATCTATAAATACAGAAAGTAGATTAGCAGTTGCTCAGGGCTGTGAGGAAGAGGCAGATAGGGGAACAATAGCCAATATGTATGGGGTTTCTCTCTGAGGTGATGAAAAGTTTCTAAAATTAACTATGGTGGGCGCCTGGGTGGCTCAGTTGGTTAAGCGACTGCTTTCAGCGCAGATTATGATCCCGGGAGTCCCAGCATCAAGTCCTGCATCGGGCTCCCTGCTCAGCAGGGAGTCTGCTTCTCCCTTGGACTCTCCCACGTCTCGTGCTCTCTCTCTCTCACTCTTTCTCTCTCTCTCAAATAAATAAAATCTTTTAAAAAATAAAATAAAAATAAAATTAACTATGGTAATGGCTGCACATATATGCGAATGTACTCATAACCATGGAATTATATGATTTAAATGGGTTTAATTATAGGGTATGTGCATTTTATCTCAATAAAGCTGTTTTTAAAAAATTGATGGGTCAGACCAGCGGCCAGGCAAATGTTTTTTTGTAAAGGATCAGGCAGTAAATATTTTAAGCTTGGTAGACCATACAGTCTCTGTTACAACTACTCAATTCTGCTCTTCTTGTGTGAAAACAGCCATCAACAATATGTAAATGAGTAAGAGTGGCTCTTGTACCAATAAAACTTTGTATTTATGGAGGCTGAAATTTGAATTTATGGAAATTTCACATGCCATAAAACTCTTCTTTGCATTTCTCCAACTATTTAAAAATGCAAAAGCTAGTCTTAGTTTATAGACTGTAGGTGTATTTAGTCAAGCGGTCAGCAAACTATGTAAAGGAAGGGGGTGATAGTTTGCTGACCCCTTGACTAAACACACCTACTCCTCCCTCTGTGACAGCTTCAAGTATTAAGGAACTCTCTCTCCCTTACAATCCCCATAACAAGAGTCAACTTTGATTCCCCTCTCAGTTTTTTCCCCCATACTACCGTCTCTATGCATGGCTTTCCAAGACTCTGGGACATGCACTTCCAGCCAAGCACTTCATAGCAGGAAAACCTCCTGGACTCCATTTCCAAAATAGAACACTTGGCAAAAGAGTTGAGGGCTCACCATGTGTTCCTTTTAAATGCCACTCACCTTGAGGTGGTGAGGGGACAAGGGAAAAGCCTTGGGAACAGAGAATATAAGAGAGTAAGACAGGGGTGCTTGGCTGGCTCAACTGGTAGAGCATGCGACTCGATCTTGGGGTGGTGAATTCAAGCCCCACATTGGGCAAAGAACTTACTTTAAAAAAAAAAAGAGTAAGACAAACTCAAGTCCATCTTTAACAACCTTCAGGCTCCTAATCACTGTAAGAGGGAGAATTTAGGCATATATGTCAAAGAGCAATACCAAATAACTATCCTTAAGAACAAAATGTATTAGTGTGTCATAGTACCACAGAGAAGGAAGAAGGAGTAGTGAAGACGTTAGGGGTTCTAGGAGCCTTTACTAAGAGGCATTTATTTATTCATTTGCCCAGCGAGCCATTTAAATGAGCAACACTATGTGACATGCCCTGTGCTGGGATCCAAGAACACAGAGATTAGTCAAACATATTTAAAGCACCAAGGTGAGGGGCGCCTGGGTGGCTTAGTCGGTGAAGCGTCTGCCTTTGGCTCAGGTCATCATCCCAGGATCCTGAGATCAAGCTCCACATCGAGCCCTACATCAGGCTCCCTGCCTGCTTCTCCCTCTCCCTCTACCCCTCCCCCTGCTCGTGCTCTCTCTTGCTATTTCTCTCTCTCACATAAATAAATAAAATCTTAAAGAAGGAAGGAAGGAAGGGAGAGAGGGAGAGAGAGGGAGGGAGGGAAGGACGGACCGACCAAGGTGAGACAGATAGAGAGAGTCAATCCTTGAAGGCAAGAACCACTGTTCTATGTGGAGGTTACGGCTGAATCTGTCCTCAATCCCAAGGACAGAGCCCAGAAACTCTCTCTCCAATCCTTCCAAACCCACACTGCCTCAGATCCACAGTTTTCCACTTTAAACTAATCGGGGAGCTTGCTCACCCCCCAGAGACATCGGGAGCCTTGTGAAGTGATACAGAGGTCAAATCTCACAGATACAGCCTCGAATCCCATCTCTGCCACTTACTCACAAGGTCACTGTTGGCCTGTAAAATGCACACAACCTCACAGTGACGATGTGGAGAAAATGAGATAATGTAAGGCACAGTCCCTCACAGTGCCTATGTGTAGAAGGTGCTTCAGAAATGTTTGACTCTTTTGAACCCAGCTCCCCTGGCAGGAGGGCTCATACTGTGCAGAACGGTGTGTCCTGAGTGAACCAGCCCCCGGCCTCTGAGTCCCAGAGACTTCTAATCTTAGCTCCCGCTCCTCAAGATGCCAGGTGGCTAGATGAAAGATGGGCAAGTCAGCGCCACACTGCTGAGCACACACCTACCTGACCTACACCTGCGAGGGCCTGGCATTGCGGGGCACCGAGCAGAGAGAGAAGAAGCTGGATAGCAACACGACTAATGACATTTTCATGCAGCATTATGGGTCACAAAGGATTCTTACCATCCATTATCTTACTGGAACCACATACTGCCTATCAAAGAAAACCCTATCTTATAAAGAAACTATTCCCTAGACACCTTCCCAGTTGATGTCTCCCAAACTTGCCATATTTTTTGCCTCCTGCCTTTACTCATGATCCTTTTTCCTGGGATGCTCCTCCTTCTTCTTTTCATCAGTAAACCTTGCTCATCTTTTAAAAACCAAGTTTCAGTTTCACCTGCTCTGCAAAGCCCGCTCCTGACACCCTGTCAGTCAGAATGGGAGCTATCTCTGTTTACAATCCTTCTAGTTTATCATCTTTGGGATAAAATCCAAGTTCCTCAGTATGGCAAGAATCTTAATGCCTGTCATTCCCACCTCATCTCATCTCCAACCTCTCCCTCCCTGTCCCATTGTTACAATCTATGCTCAAGTTAAAAGAACCACTGACCTCACACATCACACTCATTCCTTCACTGGCTATACCCTTCCCACCTCTGTCCCCAGGTTAACTCCTCTGCATCTCTCAAAATTCATCTCAGGGATCACCTCATCTGGGCTGTGTTTCCTGGCATCCTAGGATAAGTCCAATTTTCTCCTCTTAAAATTCCAGAGTATGCAGTACTAACCTGTCATCACAACACCTATTAGGACATGATCTTCCGCCTCACTAACATGTGAGCTCCTTGCAGGTAGGAAATTTGTCTTCATAATTAGTCTTTGCATATCCAGGATGGAGCAGACACAAAATGTGTCTGGCAAAGGAAGAGAGAAAGAGAGAAAGAAGGAGAGTGCGGGAGAACAGGAGAACAAATAAGGGGAGCGTCATGAATCCTCATGTGGATCAGCCATTACGTCGAGAACCAATTGTTTCCCCCCCTCATGCTCTCTCTATCTCATTCTCTGTCTCAAATTAAATAAATAAAATCTTAAAAAAAAAAAAAAAAGAAAGAAAAGAGAAAGAAAACCAATTGTTTCTGGGGCACCTGGGTGGCTCAGTCGTTGGGCGTCTGTCTTCGGCTCAGGTCCTGATCCCAGGGTCCTGGGATCGAGCCCCGCATCGGGCTCCCTGCTCCATGGGAAGCCTGCTTCTCCCTCTCCCACTCCCCCTGCTTGTGTTTTCTCTCTCGCTGTGTCTCTCTCAAATAAATAAGTAAAATCTTAAAAAAAGAAAAAAGAAAGAAAACCAATCGTTTCTAATGCAATGCACATGCACAGAGAGACTTGCATAAATAAACACAAACACCAGTTAGGTCACAGGCAAGGCCTTGGGAGCCAACCACCGATTTCTCCTTTCTCCTTCGACAGGATGATTCGGAAGCTTATACCTGAAGCAGGGATTTTCTCTCTCTCTCTCTCTCTGCGGGCTTGACCATTTCTGGCTGCTAGATGACCCACCCTTGCATTCTGCCTACCACCTTGTAGGGTCCAGATCCAGCCCAGATTAATGGCATCTTTGGATTCCTGATTATACTTCTGCCTCTGTTTCCACCGCCAGGTCCTGCATACTATGCTATTGCCCAACCATTTGCTCTTAACCTTCTCTTTAATTCTTGACCCAGCTTACGGGTTTTCTCTCAACTCCTATGTCCTTGGCTCTGTGTTTCTCCCCTGCCTCCACTTCTTTTCATACACACAGACATATCTAAATACAGAAAGACACATAAAAATACAAAAAGGCGGGGCGCCTGGGTGGCTCAGTTGTAAGCATCTGCCCTCCACTCAGGTCATGATCCCAGGGTCCTGAGATCAAGCTCTGCATCGGGCTCCCTGCTCCGAGGGAAGCCTGCTTCTCCCTCTCCCACTCCCTCTGTTTATGTTCCCTCTCTCGCTGTCTCTCTCTCGGTCAAATAATAAAATCTTTTAAAAAAATAGAAAAGAAATTTAAAAAGGCATAAAATGACATACACACACATGCAAAGAAACAAACACAAGGCACATAAATACAACTACACATATAGACACACACACACACACACACACACACAGAGAAGTCTTACAAGTCTACCTAATCCCTGTCATCACAGGACTGCAGTCCAGAACAGACAAAGCAGACTCACCAACAAAGAGGAGGGAAGGAAGACAACAGTCTGTGTAGTGAGAAAGAATTTCCCTGTCTGTCAAAGCAAAGCACCGTCTGGGTTTTCCTGGAAACACGAGCGGTCCCATCTGGGGGAGCTGCTGCTTCATCCTGTATCTGGCCAAGGCACTGGGACAGATTGCAAACTAGGCCTACTCCCTCTGATGTGTAGCTCAGCTTGTCTGGCAACTGGTCCCCTGCCCTGAGTGCTGGCTGACAAGGCGTCTTCTGCTACCCCGGCACATGTTAGATTACCTCACCCTTATTCCTCTTGCAACTCCCACAGTCCTGCGCTCACCACCATCACGGCCCTGAAATGTGCTATTGTCACTGCCAGGTCACAGATCTGCCACTCTCACTAGCCTGAGGGCTTATCAACGGCAAAGAGTATCTTATTTTCATCTGTACTTTGCAGATGAGGAAAGGGAGGCTCCAAGTTACTTGGCGTATTACCAATCTACATTGCAAAATTTGGATTTGAATTCAGGTCAGCTTAGACTTTTAAAAAGGCAATGTCCAGGGGTGCCTGGGTGGCTCAGCTGGTTGAGCGACTGCCCTCGGCTCAGGTCATGATCCTGGAGTCCCAGGATCGAGTCCCGCATCGGGTTCCCTGCTCAGTGGGGAGTCTGCTTCTCCCTCTGACCTTCCCCCCTCTCATGTACTCTCTCTCTCATTCTCTCTCTCAAATAAATAAAATCTTAAAAAAAAAAAAAAGAAAATTAATGAAACCAACCCAAATACTTAAAAAAAAAAAAAAGGCAATGTCCAAATACTTTATTCTAAGGAACTCACAACAGTGTGGGCTAAAGGCATGAGCAAGCCTACAGAACTTCAACTCAATGGGAGTTGGGAGGTGAATGCTACAGCCAACCTATAATTAAGTATTTACAAGAAAAAATGGAGACAGGTCATTCCCTTAGCCTAAGGACCAGGTTTCACCTGAAGAATGATGTCATTCACGGTATCACTCATCTCTGTTCTGTCCAAAAGGCCTGAGCAGACCTCAATCTGTGTTTTGCCTAGATTAGGGCAGGGGGTCAGAATGTTCTACAAAGCAGGAGATAAGACGGTGATTGCACCAGGAGGCTGGCAGGAAGCTAGAAGGTAAAAAACCAGAAGGATGCCTCCAAACTGTAACAATCCTTCAGGTCAAAGAAGAATTACTGTAGCAACAGACATGTCTACATAGAAACCTATGCTGAGGTTGTCTGAAAAACTGCAATTATTTCTTTTCTGCCCTATTTTGCATATAGTAAACCAAAGAAAGAAAAAAAAGGCAAAAGTGCCAGGCTGTCAAAGGTGTTCAAAGAGGAAGGAAGGAAATCTATGTTCAGGATTGGGTCCAGGGACCAACGGGAGAGCGCTGCTTCCCATGGGCCAGCATGGCAGCAGCGGCGGGAATCAGAAGGAGGCCCTGGAGCACAGGGTGAAGCCAGGAAAGATAAAACCAGGGCTACTTAGCCAGCTGCCTCTGACATCTCCCCTCCTGGAGCTCCATATAGTAAGTGCCAAGAATTTGATTCAGGGTCCTGGTATGTGGGTGAGAGGGAATTACCACCTGGGTTCTCCCATAAGTTTCTTGCCATCTTAGCTTTTCCATAAGTGACAGCTACAAAAAAGAAGAAGGAAGGAAGGGACGGAGGGAGGGAGGAAAGGAGGGAGGGAGGGAGGGAGGAAGGGAGGAAAAAAAAGAGGAAGGATTCTCCCAAAGAGAATGCCCCAGGGCTCTTCAGTCTGGTGTCCTCAAAAACCATCTATACCTACCCAGAAACAGGGAACCTAGCTCTCAGGTAGCTAACCAGGGATCTCTGCTTCCAGATACCATGGACACACAGACTTGGAAGCCCCTCTGCATATCTGTCAAAGTTAGGAGTGGGGGAAATGGAGATAGAACTCAGCATGGTTTTCAAAGTGTTTTCTACAGAGCCCTATGGGTTCCTAGGGGTTGGGCTAAAGCAAGACAAGTGGGAGGTGACCACTACACCAACCAGTGTTGTAGTGACACTTTTATTTTTTTAACATCTTTATTTAGATATAATTTACATACCAATTTAGCGTACAACTCAAGAGTGTTTAGCATTTTCCGAGGTGTGCAACCATCACCACAAGTTTAGAACATTTCCATCAGCCTCATGCAGATCTGAGTTATAATAACCCCCAAAATGGATAACTATGAGCTAATTCAGTCTGTTTTCTTATTGGTTATACGGGAAAATGACTACCTATCCCACAGGTTTCTTGTAAAGATGCCATGTGAGAGTGTAGGGAAAGCCCCCAGCACAGGCCTTGCGGGTGGGAGCAGGAGCAGGGGGAGAGGACATAGCACTTGTACCACCATGAACAAAACTGGGCACTTTCTACACGTGCTTTCATTTCGTCTTTGCTAGAATCCTTCAAGGCAGAGACTACTGCCCCCATTTGACCATGAGGAAATGAAAGCTCACAGAGATTTAAGAAAACTTCCAAGGTCATACAACCAACAGTTGGTGAAAGGGCACCTGAACCCCTCATCTTTTTTGCTCCAAAGCCTGTGCATACTTTCGCTCAGTCACACAGCCTTTCAGAATTCTTTTTTTTTCTCTTTTCTTCATCTCTGCCCTCCTTGTACATGTTTTTCTCTAAGTCTTTCCTATTATTTTAACTACAAGGATTTGACCTCCATCCAGAGTCTGTATGTGACTCAGGGCACAGGGTAAAGGGCTAGGGAAGGAGTCACAGAGGTCAGACACACACATCATACACTAACAAAGCAATGTCATATCTGGGTCCTAGACACAGCCCGCCACTGACTCAGCCACCATCCTGGCCGGGAACTCACAAATCGAAAGCACCCTGTCCCCATGCCACTGACCAGCCAACTTTGTACTCTTGCTCTACCCTAAGGAAACAATTCAAGGGGCACTTAGTGATAAGACAGGATCATTGCTTTCAAATCAAATTTCAAAAATACTTAACGCATCACCTTTATGTGTAAGGCCCTGTACCAGGTACTGTGGGAGAAATAGTGATGAATAAGACCTGATTCCTGGCCCTGGAGGCACTCACAGTCTAATAAGACAGACAACTAATTTCAATACAGAGCAGAGCAATATGCCAAATGAGAGATTCATGCCAGTACTCTGGAGCACGAAAGAGGAAAAATTACTTCCCACTGTAGGGAAACAACAAGATTTCTAGGAGAAAACATTTATTCTAGGCCAGTAGTCCTCAACCAGCGGCACTTCTTCGTTTTGTTGTTGTTGTTGTTGTTGTTTTAAGATTTTATTTATTATTTATTTGAGAGAGAGAGAGAGCACGAGCATGAGAGGGGAGGAAGAGCAGAGGGAGAGGGAGAAGCAGTCTCCCCGCTGAGCAGGGAGCCCGATGTGGGACTCAATCCCAGGACCCTGGGATCATGACCTGAGCCGAAGGCAGATGCTTAACCAACTGAGCCACCCAGGCGCCCCAACCAGGGGTACTTTTATTCCCCAGGGTGACTGACAATTGGCAAGAGAGACACTCTGGTTGTCACAACTTTGGGGGGAAGGGGTGATGATGGAGGGTTGCTGCTACCCATATCCAGTGTATAGAGGTTGAGGATGCTGCTAAACATCCTACAATGTACAAGAGAGCTCCCCACAACAAAGAGTCATCTAGCCCAAAACGTCACTAATGCTGATTTTGAGACCCTTGACCTAGGCCTGTGTGGACAGGTAGAATTTTTACAGGCAAATGGGAGGCAGAGAGATGCTGAGATGAACATTTATCTAAAGCAAAGGCGGGCGCCTGGGTGGCTCAGGAAGTTAAGTGTCTGCCTTCGGCTCAGGTCATAATCCCAGGGTCCTGGAATCAAGCCCCACGTAGGGCTCCCTGCTCAGCAGGAGGTCTGCTTCTCCCTCTCCCTTTGCTCCTCCCTCTGCTCATGCTCTCTCTCTCGCTCACTCTCTCAAATAAATAAAATTAAAAAAAAAGTAAAGGCACAGTGACGGGATATAAAGAACATGTTTGAGATGGTTGCAGCCTAAAGTAAGGGAATACAGTGTAATGTGAACTAGTCAGGAAAGCCAAGGGCAGACTGTGGGAGTACTGAAGGGCAGGTTAGAGTTTAGCTTGATTTAGTAAGTAAAGGCAGGCCACTCTTAAGTTCCCTCATCTCCAAAACACAGTAACACCTAGCTCATAGAGTGGTTGAGCTTTAAATGAAACTGTACATGCAACAGCTAGAACAGGGCTTGGCACACGGTAGGGATGCTCCTTTTCCACTGCACTCCCTTTACAAGGTAGAAGTAATGATCAGAGCTGTGCTTTAGTAATTCCAGTAATAGTGCAAAAACAGACAAACTTAGGGCACCTGGGTGGCTCAATTGGTTAAGCAACTGCCTTCGGCTCAGGTCATGATCCTGGAGTCCCGGGATCGAGTCCCATATTGGGCGCCTTGCTCAGCAGGAGGTCTGCTTCTCCCTCTGACCCTCCCTCCTCATGTGCTCTCTCTCTCTCACTCTCTCTCTCAAATAAATAAATAAAATCTTTAAAAAAAAGACAAACTTACAGGCAAGATAATATAATCAAAACCATTAGGGCACAAAGCAAGACATTCTAATTATGTGCTAAACTAAGTTGCTTTGAACTGTGTGCTATGGGAGTTAGTCCTGGGATGAGAGAGAGATCAGTGCGGGGTGGGAAAGTCAGGGAAAGTTCATGAGAAGTGAGCCTGGAGCGTTCCAGGAGATACCGAAGACTGATACGGACAGGGCCGAGGGCTGAAGGGGTGGGGCAGAAATTAATCCCAGTCAGGGAGAACTAGCTGAGCAAAGAAAGGGCACTGCAACAAGCATGGAATGAATCTGAGACAATGAGGGCCAGGGCCAGACAAGAGTGGTAGGAGGTATGTCCAGAAAGTGTTAAGAAAGACTAAGGCCAGATTTGAAGGGATGGAGCGCTTGGCACAGGAAGTCAGATGGAATCAGGAAAGAAAATCACGCAGGACACAGGAAACCGCAGTGTGACTTGGGAAGATCGTGGGCAGCATGGACAACCTGGCTGGTAGAGGGGAAACTAGAGGCAAGGGAGCACTGAGAGGTGTCCACAGCTGTCTGCATATACAGAAATAAGGCCCAAAGCCTGAGGAGGGAAAGCAATTCTTAGTAATCATGCTAGTACTTCTGGGCATAACGAAGCTACTCACCCGCATCCCACTTAGCCCAGGCTGGCCAGAGCACTGGCTATGTGCATGAAGCCCATGGGGCTTCTCTCCCTCCCTACATACCACCACCTATCAAGTCCAACTCCTGCTGGCCTCTGGATTTTCCAAGTGGAGCCGCTCCTCTCAAGGTTTAGTTCCCCCAGCCCACATAGCCCCCCAGGACCCAGCAGGCCCCGTGGTGGGGGGACAATGCAAAAGGGGGAAAGCAAGTCAACTTCTACCCCGCTAAAGTCAAAACAGATCTGATGACAGTATTATCTCTGGCCTTCCAGATGGGTGGGAGGGGGGAGGAGAAGTTCTCACCTAGACCTTTTGTGAAGCCCACAGGCAGGGGCAGAGGCTGGGGGAGAAGCCCTGCTCTGTCATGCCTCACCCCCTTCACGTGGGCCACTCAGGGAGTAGAGAACTGCCTCCTGCAGGGCTGCCTGGTCAAGTCAGCCACGCCACGGGGTGGGGTGGGGGGGGGGGAAATCCCAGAGCTGAGTGCTGTGGGGCCGTGGGATGATGAGAGAGCTGACCTGGAATTCTTGCAATACAGGCCGGCCCTCACTATCTGTACCATCACGCTGAGGGAGGAAAAAACATGGATTTAGCACCTATCCATGTACCAGTCATTTGCATACATTCAGTTCTTACAAGAACCCTCCAAAGAATTCACCTCCTCAAACAGCTGAATAAATTGAGGCTCGAGAGGTGAAGTTACTCGCCTATTTGTCACATAGTAAGTGGCAAAGCCAAGTTTTGAACACAGGCCTCTCTGCAGCAAAATGTGTGCTCTTTCTGATGAAATAATAGTGATAATAATAATAACAATAATAGCAAAAAGTAACCATTACTGAGCCTCTTCCATATGCCAGGCCTTGTCCTGAGTGCTCTGCATGCATTATTTCATTTAAGCTTTGCAACAACTCCATGAGACGCCTACTATCATTACTCCACTTCTAACAAAGAAACCGAGGCTGAAAAGGAGATTGATGAACTTCTCCAAGTTTCCACGGCTGCTAAAGGCAGAGCCAGGTTTAGACCCAGGTCTGTGTGACTCCAGAGCACCACTTCTCAACCCTGTGCTATGCTCCTATACCACACACCACAGACAATAACAAAAGCAGAAGTTGATTTTGCAGCTTCCTGGGCTCTTACTGCTACCTACCCATCCCCACCCCCCAAAACGTGTGATCACACCCTTGCTCAAGCCTCCCTCCTTAGCCAGACACCATGCTGCTACAGCGATATTAGTCAGTCGTTCCACACAGTGATTAAATTAAGTACCTATTCTGTACAGGACTCTGCTGGGCACTGGGGAAACAGAGGCAAACAAACCAAATAAGGTCAGTCCCTGCCCTGAAGAGTCTCATCATCTGGTGAGAGAAACACATCAGTGAAGCAAACATTAAAATACAGCTGTCAGATGCAGGTAGCTTTCCCAGAAATATAGAAGAAACAGAAAGAGGAAAACAACTAGCACTCACATAGCTTGAATTGTGTGTCCGGTACTATGCTGACAACTTTTTTCTTAATTAACATATGATGGAATTAACCCTTGGGGGGGATACAGTACTATGAGTTTTGACACATACTTAGACTCTTGTAACTGCCCTACAACCCAGACGCAGGAAAATTCTATTACCACACCCCCAAATCCCTTCATGCTGTCCCTTGGTAATCAAACCCTCCCCACACTCCTAACCCCTAGTAACCACTGACCTAGCTTCCACCCCTGCACTTTGGCCTTTCTCAGAATGTCACGTAGACGGAATCATAGAGCATGGAACTCGTTGAGTCTGGTTTCTTTCACTCAGTATAAGGCCTTTGAGATTCATCTATGTGGTGTACATCAATAGTTCATTCCTTTTTATTGCCGAGCTGTTTTCCATGGTTTGTTTATCCACTCACACACTGAAGGACATTCAATTTGTGTCCGGATTTGGCGACTACGAATAAAGCTACTATAAACATCGTGTACAAGTTTTAGTGTGAATATAAATTTTCTTTTAATCTATAGGGGTAAATATCTAGAAGTAGAATTGCTGGGACATGTAGTAAATCATGTTTAACTTTCTAAGAAGCTCTATAGGCAAAAGTTCTAGTGGCTCTTCCTCCTCCCCTGGCACTTGGTGGTGTCCATTTTTTAATTTTAGCCATTCTGATAGATGTATAGTGGTATCTTGCTATGGTTTGATTTTCCTTTAAGATTTATTTATTTGTCAGAGAGAGAGAGAGCACAAGCAGGGGGGCGGCAGGCAGAGGGAGAAACAGACTCCCCGCTGAGCAGGAGCTCGATGTGGGACTCGATCCCAGGGTCCTGAGATCATGACCTGAGCTGAAGGCAGACCCTTAACTGACTGAGTCACCCAGGTGTCCCTCACTATGGTTTTAATTTGTACTTCCCTAAAGGCTAGTGATATTGAGCATCTTTTTATATGTTTCTCTGTATGAAACTATATATAACTATATCCATATAACTTCTTTGGTGAAGTGTCTGTTCAAATCTTTTCCCATTCTTTATTGAGTTGCTTGGTTTCTGTTATTGAGTTTTGGGAGTTATTTGTGCCAGAAACATTTTTTTAAAGATGTATTTATTTTTATTTGAGAGAGAGAGAGAGAGAGAGAGAGTGTGTGTGTGTGTGTGTGTGTGTGTGCCTGCAAGTTGGGAGAGGGGCAGAGGAAGAGAAAGAGAATCTCAAGCAGACTCTCCACTGAGCGCAGAACCCAACACAGGACTCGATCCCAGAAGCCTGAGATCATGACCCGAGCCGAAATCAAGAGTCAGATGCCTAACCGACTGAGCCAACCAGGCACCCCCGTGCCAGAAACTTTCAACAGCACTTTTCTCATTGAATTCTGACAACAACCTTGCAAGGGTAGGAATCACCAACCACCATTTTACCTAAGAAAACTAAAGGGCAAGTCACTTAACTACTATAATCGCAGTTCTTCCTAATTTCAGAACTTTACTCATTATTTAATTCGCCTGTGACATACAGACTACTAGAATGCAAGCTCCATAAAAGCTGAAATCTTATCTGTTTTGTTTGCTATAGAATCTGTAGCCCTATAATGGTGCCTGGCACATACAGGTATTCAATAAAAATCTGTTTAATGGCTGGATAAATGCCCTTGATTTCCCATGTAGGTTCCAGAGAAGAAAACAACACTGCTCTCAAAGTGTCAGGTCAGGTCGAAGGGACAGTGGTTGTAGACAGCCCTTCTCTGTCTGCTTCAGACTGTCCAGACAACCTGACAGGACCATGCATGCCCCTGCAGCAAATCCTTTACCCATGGGCAGTGTTCCCACCAGAGGTCTCAGGAGAACACAGGCCATGAATTTCCACACTGGTGGGCTGGTCGAACTTCCTCCCAGCCTCGCAAGAAGGGTACCACGGCCAATATTGCCATCTTGTTCATCAGAAGGGCCCCCAATCCACAACCTCTGCCAACTCAGACAGAAGCAAGCAAAGATAGTACTTGAGCAGCCAAACTGGCTGCCCCACAAGCAACTGATTATATATTTTCTATAAAATGCCTGCTAAGTCTCAGCTTGCCATAAATCTAATTTCATAGCTCACAGCAGAGTAAAGACAGCAATTAGAAATGGGGATGATCAAAGAAGAGACAGGGAAATTATGAGAAGAAATCACAACAATGGATATAGGAATCCAGGTACGGGGATAATCGTGTAAGAGGCCCTGAAGACATGCTTTGAATGATCCAAATAAAGTCACCACTCTGTTCACAATAATCTGTAAAAAGAAAGACTTATTTCAAAAATGGCTAAAATTGTAAGAGATCTAGAACTGAGGTTATAGTTTAGTCATCTGAAAAACTTACTGATATGAGGCTGAATAAATGAGGCCTCATAGGGTATCCCTTCAGACTTGCACTAAGATCCTTGGGGAATCAGCAGGGCTTTTTAAGTGGTCATGAAAAGCTCAGGTTCCTCATGGCCAGCACAAGCACAGTTTCATCTCTCACGTCTCAGTGCCCAGTAGCCAATATTCTAAGCTCTGAGCTGTCCACCCAACACTCTAGTTAGAACCTGACCTCCAAGGCTGTCTCATACGTTTAGACTGACTTAAGCACACATACTTTGCTACCATTGCTTTCTCTTTCGAAGACAGGAGCTTGTGACAGATCATGAAAACCCAGACTGGCAGCCCCCCCTTACCACCAGAGGCCTGAGTCTGTAGGGGGAGCAGCTGAAGCTAAGGCAAAGGCAGGAGCTACACTGAAAAAGAACAGCTCACCACTGGCACAGAGAAGAGCAGGGTGACAGCTTTTGTGTTATTTTAGAACAGTTTGTGCTGATGAGCTTTTTGTTGTGGTAACATTCCTCTAAAAAGAACATTTTTTTCCTCCCCTCATTGACAAAGCAATCAGCAGAAAGTGAAAAAAGGAGGAGGAGCAGATGACGAAGATATCCAGGAATTTGTGGATCTTGGATCATATCACCTTCTTAACTGGTGTGCCATCCATCCCCTGGTCCTGTGGCCAGGCCTCTGGAGAGAGATCAGGAAGCCTCTAGGCCTCATCTGCCTCCAGGAACATGGTTCTATTCTCAGTGCAGGCAAATAAAATTTGGGTTCTTTGAGGGCCAGTGCCACTTCTAGATGCAACCAAAAGTTCGGATACCTTCATCGCGGTTGCTGTCCTTGCTCAAGGACCTACAGTCGCCAGGTTCAACAAGTAGACCTTGCTCAGCCGGGCTGCCTGGGTCCCCACTTTCCTTTCCAGATTTTTGTCCTACAGTCTTCCACCACAGTCGCTCTGTCCAACCAAACCCACCCACCACGCTCTTATTACCTCCACATCTGTACTCACGCTGGCTCCCTGCTTACTCAGGCTGCCCCATTCCTTCCACTCCACCCAAACGTCTACTTTTGTTCCAGGAGGTCTATTTTTGTCCTCTTATAAATTCCTTAGACATTATCTAATTCAACCGAATGCAAGGATCCCCTCTGCTAACCAATCGGTGGAGTGCTGTATTCTATCTGCCCATCTTCAGTGACAGGGAGCTCACTACATATCTACCAAGGAAGCCTCTTCTACGACAAGATGGCGCTGGTGACGATTCTTTATTCTAAATGAATATGCCCATATTTTATTTTTCTCACATTGGTCCTGGTTCTGCCCTTAGCCTAAGAGAAACAGTACACCAGTACTTAGCAGCATGAGCTTTGAAATCAGATCTGTGCTCATACCCAGTGTGTCCTTGGACAAGCCTTTCCAAGGCTCCAGTCCTTGACAATAATACCAACTTCAAAAGGCTGTTAAGAAAGGTAAAAGAGTTAATTATGCAAAGAGCTTAACACTGTGCCTGGCACGGAATAAGAACTCAATAAATGCTAGCTACAGCTGCACTTTTCATCGCCTGCACCATTGTTACTTAACTCTGATTCCTCCACTCCTAGTGTATTTGAAGACAGAAATTTTATTTCCCAGATCTTTTCTTTTCCAGGCTCCCGTTTCTCCACTAGACTGTAAATGATATGAGGACAGACACGTGTGTCCTCTTTACTGTCACAGCCCCATGTCTACCACAGTGCCTGGCACATACATAATACTAATAAATAACCAAATTCTATTGAATGTCTCCATTTCATAGTTTCCATGCCCTTCATCGTTCACTCCTTTGCGTACAGGTTCTCACTGTTCCAGGTGCTTCTGACAACGTGAGATTCAAAACTGAACTCAAAACTTAAAAGGAGGGCTGACGAGCAGGGTGAAGAGACTGGGCTTACCTCTCCCTCGTGACATGCACCATATCACTATTAAAGATCTGGCATAACTTGGCAGCTTCACCAAACTGCTGGCTCGCGTTGAGCTTGAAATCAACTGAAACCTTTACATCTTTTCACAAGTGATGACTTCGTACTCTGGGCTCTGTGGAACTGGAACTGTAGTGATGCCAAAAGATGAGACAATAACAGAGCTTTTTCCATCTAGAGATTCCTCTCGCTCCTACTATCTGGGACTACTCAACCAGCTCCCAGCAACTGCGGCCGGCAATTCAGAATGATCTTTCTAGGAACATGTGTTTCTTCCTCCCAAACAGAGTATAAACTCTCAGAGGGCAAGATAAGGACCGCCTTGACTTCTCTCCTATATGCCAACACAGGGCTGAACACATAGTGAGTACAGACGGATGCCCCCTCCATCTGCAGGAGGATTCCAATAAGGAGTCAGGGGAACTGTAGAGACCAACCTCGAGGCTCCCTCTCCCTCTCACACAGCACACCTCATTCAGTGTTGTGCTTCTAGCTGGTAGGCAGATGGGAGCCAGTCCAGGCAGAGACACAGACATCAGGCCTGCACTTGGACCGGTGAGGTCCTATAGGGCTGTTCTGCTGAGAATCACCTCCCTTCGCAGGGAGGAGCTCTTAGAGAACAAGCCAACATCAAGAACATCTCTCCACGGGGAAGAGTGTCTAGACAGCTTTTAGGGACTGTCCACACAGGAAGAGAAGAGAGCCATGGCAGGGTGAGAGAGCTCACCTCATCACTTTCTTCCACATCCACATCACCATTGGCATCATCGTCCATCAGCTTGTGGATGCTGCGGACTGCATCAAAGCTGAGCTTCTCATCCTCACTGTGGCACAGGGGCTTGTCAATCCGGCAAAACTCTGTACAGGAAAAGCAAGAGACAACATTACTGTGGGCCGCCACTGGCCTTTACTACCCACCTGTCCCAGGGTCCGTAGCTTCCAGCAGCTAAAGCCTCATGTAGCCACTTCACTGGCTATTTGTACAGTGAGAAAAGTGTTTCATCCAGTCTTCAACCTTCTCCCCAACTCTCCCCCATTTAGGGACAATGCTTTATTATCCTAATCTTTCCCTACTGGCAGGGAAGTCAAGCATAAGACCAGGAATACACTGGGACCTAGACAAAGAATATGAATAGGTAACTCACACGGAAAACAATATAAATGAGAGAAAATACAAATACCCAACAGACACAGGGAAAAAAGTCGAGGCTTACTAGTAAGTGAAGAAATACATGTTCAAACGAAATACCATTTTTAGTCAGTCGATAAATAAATGTGCATTAATACAGTCTTTCTAGAAACAGGAACACAGTCCATTCCCTGCAGTGCCAAAGTAATATATAGTTTTCCTTCTCGTTCACTTTGTCACTGCTGCGGGTAGCAGAGTGCCAGCCGCAGGCTAGCTGCAGAAAGCCTTCAAGTGCAGAGCCTGCCCACAGCGAGTTGCAGTCAGCGATAGCCATCAGGCACCCACGGCCCTGGGCACATCAGCTGCAACAGCGTGGGAGGCCCACAGGGCAGCTTCCTCCACCACCGACGCACAGTCATGTAGGACTAAAGCCAACACAAGAGCTGAGGCCACTTAATCCTCTCTTAGAACCCCGGGAAACACTGCATACAGCAGAAAGAGCCTGGCATCTCGTCTTAGCTCTACCGTGTGACCCTAGGGAGGTCACTTCTCTTCTCCGGGCCTCAAGCTCACTAACTGAAAAAGACATTGTAAGTGAAGTTTCCAGTATGTCTTCCAATTCTTAGATTCTAAAATTCCTCTTTCCCTCTGACCCTGATCTTGATAACTTCTCTCCAGCAAAAACTCCTCAGATCACTCCCAAAGAAGAAGCCATCACAGAAGAGAAAGCAAGGAGAGGGTAAAGAAGCTGCTGCTGTGAAGCCTTCTAGAAGGCACTGATCAAAGACCTGTCTGCTGGGCAGAGACACTGACGGCACAGGACAAGTCACCTCTCTCTCACTGGCAAGTTGCTCAAATCCTTTTCAAAATGAGGAAGGGCTATAAATGTTAAATGTGGAAAATGTCCCAGATGTAACTCAATAAAAAACATGTTGGATACTGGAGCTCACAGATGTTAACTGATGTGTCCAAAGTCAAAGACAGCTGAAGAGCCACAGCGAGAGCCCAGGTCTATCGACTCCCAGGCCCGCACTTCACCTGTCTGCCTTTATGCCAAGGCGCCCAAAGAGCTTTAAGTTGGGTTTCATCTTCTGCAAGTCACAGATGGTAAAAAGGACATTGAAGAAATGGCTTCATAGAAGACAAAAAGTAAGATAAATAGTATACATGCCAAAGAAATATCTCCATATAACCTTATATTCTTCTACATTTGTCTTACAAGTTGAAGTGGAGAGTGGAGGGTGGGGTGAGGCAGTGGTGGGTACTGAGGGAAAGAGAAGAATGCAGCCAAAGATTAAGGCCTTGTTTCTCAACTTCCTCACCAACAAGAGCTCTTGGCACGATTGTTTCATTTATGGACTCCTATCCATGAACTACCTATCTAAACGGAATTGCAGTAAGTACTGACTGGTTCATAGATGGAAGCACACAACCCTGGGATTAGCATTACCAACATAACGCTTTCCTGACCTTATTCCTGCTTTTGTGTTCATCAAAGGCACATATAATTGCCTATCAGAGTAAGAAAAAAATTTTTTAATTGCCTATCAGATTTTTGATCAGCCTATGATGTGCCCATTTAAACAACATTTATTGAGTGTTCTTTATATGTCAGGCTCTGTAATCAGCATGGGGCATAAAGAGATGAGTCAGATCTCATCCCTGCCCTCAAGGAGCTTAATTATAAATGTAGGGGAGAGAGGTGATTAAAACACTAAGTGCGAATTACCATGAGAGAAACAGTCAGGATTACCCTAGGGGTCAGCAAACTTTTTCTGTAAAAGGCCAGATAGTAAACAATTTAGCATTTATGAACCAGATAGCCTCTGTTACTACTACTTTATCATAGAGCACAAAAGCAGCCGTAGACAAAACGTTAAGTGCATGAGTTTAGCTGTGTTCCAAGAAAACCTTATCCACAAAAACAGGTGGTGGGCTGAATTTGACCCCTGGGTCATAGTTTGCTGACCCCTATTCTAGAAAACCACAGGTAGCACACCAGAACCACATTAGGTTGACAGATTCTTGACCCAAAGCAAAGAAATTCAGTATTTTCATTAGCCTGTATCCACACACAGGTCTATCATAAGTAAAGCATAGTTTCTTTTTTTTTTTAAGTTTTATTTATTTAAGTAATCTCTACACCCAACATGGGGCTCCAATTCACAACCCCGAAATCAGAAGTCTCATGCTCTTCCAACTGAGCCAGCCAAGTGCACCAAAGCATAACTTCTAATAGGTTTTTTTAAAATGCTGAACTAGTTCACTGAGCTCTAGGACTGTGGGGGTCTCCAGGCTGGGCACCGTTGGCCTTAAGGTCAGCCAGCCCCTTTCTTGAAGGCCTATGGCAGGTCCAAGAAGTTTGGGCTTCAAACACTAGGCTCTGGTTTGTAACCTGATCAGACACACAGGTGACCTTTGCTGCTGGCATCATCTGGCATAGAGAAGGATTAAAGGGACTGAGGATAAAGGAGTACAAAATCTTGCTGTCCCGTAAGGCCATAGAACCCTGTCCAGAAAAAGTACATTAGCCAAAATTCACAAATGACTCCTGCTACCAAGCATTTCCTAGGCTGTCTCTCTCTCCTTCCTGAATCTATAATCTCTTATACATTCCAATCTGGCAAGGTTTCCCAGAACCATCTGGAAATACCTTAGAAGATCCAACCATTTAGCAACACATTATTAGTAAGAGCCCTAGACTTGGAGTCAGAACACATATGTCAAAATCCCAGGTCCATCAGTTACAACTATATGATGTTGGACAAGTTGTTATCTTCTCTTAGCTTCCAATAGCTCACTTGTAAAATGAGGATAATTATGTCTGTTTACATGGTTTTTGCAAAAATTAAGACCACATTTGTTCAAACACCTAGCATAGGGCATGCATAAAGCTGACAATCAATACATTGGTAGTTTCCTTCTTTCCTCCCAGAACAGCAGGTGAACAGCTCCCATCCTCTCCTAATCAGCTGCTCTCCCTGTCAGACTACAAAGAATCAAATATAGGATATACAGTCCAATCAGATCGATCAGCATATGTTCTAGATGAGCTGGCAAGTGATTATGACAATGGCCTATATTCCCACAACATTTATTTGTCTATTGCTGATAACATTCATCATACTGTGTTGCAGTTCTGTCTGTCTTCCCCATCAGACTGTGATTTCCAGAAGAGCTTAGGACCATGTCCCCAGCCCCAAGCAAAAGCCAGGTTCTTGATAGATGCTCAGGAAATGTTTTTTGATGAATAATTAAATACCAACTAACAATTACGTGTAGGATTTCTCTAAGCAGAAAAGAGAATTCTAAGTAAAAAGAATATTACAGGACCAGGTTTTTAAATTGTTTGATCTCAGGGCCCCTGTATACTCTTGAAAACTGAAAATCCCCAAACTGATATTTACCATATTAGAAATTAAAATACAAATTCTAGTAGCAATTAATTCCTTTTAGACCACTAAATCTCCTATACATTAATATAAATAAGATTTTTTTATGAAAAATAATTGTTTTCTGGAAAAAATGTTTTCTGAGAAGGGTGGGATTGTTTTACATTTTTGCAAATCTCTTTAATATCTGGCTTAATGGAAGATGGCTGTAGTCTTATATCTGTTTCCACATTCAATGTGTTGTTTTGATCCAAGAGCAAAACAGGTATATAGCTGGAAAAGAGAGGAGTATTTTAATAACCTTTCAGATAACTGTGAACATTCTTCTCTAATATTACATCAAAACTCAACAAGTGGTAGGTTTATCAAAGATTAGTTGCAGTGTGAAATTTGAAACTATCTGGATGAACTTTTTGTACTCTATTACGTTAAAATCTATTGCTCTATCTTGAATTTTGAATAATCTTTTATCCAGGCGTGATTTTGTAACATGATGCACTGATCACATGGAAACTAGTGATTCAATGAGTTAGGCAGAGCTTCCAAATTTGACCCATTTCATCTATACAATATCAAAATAATCAGTTATTAGTATCACCACTAATTTCATCAGGAAACTTTTATTATTTATTTATTTATTTGAGAGAGAGATTGAGAGAGAGCTTGGGGGGGGCGTGTGGTGCAGAGGGAAAGAATCTCAAGCAGACTCTGCACTGAGCATGGAGCCTGATGCGGGGCTTGATCTCACAACCCTAAGATCATGACCTGAGCCAAAATCGAGAGTCAGACACCCAACCAACTGAGCCACCCAGGCACCCCTTTTTTTTTTAAGTAGCCTCCATGCCAAGCATGGAGCCCAACATGGGGCTTGAACTCACGACCCTGAGATCAAGACCTGAGCTGAGATCAAGAGTTGGACCCTTAACCGACTGAGCCACCCAGGTGCCCCCATCAGAAAAGCTTGAAATCTAGGGAAGCTGTCAAGCTCACAGTGGCAGATACAAGTTTTCCACAATTCTAAGTTTTAAATAAAAGCCAGAATTTTATCATTGGCAAAAAATACTACCAGTTGTTTTCCTCTAAGTAGCAAATTCACCTCATTCATTTTCAAGAAAAGATCTGCCAAATAATTAGTTTGAGTAACTATACTTTATCTGTCAGTTATTCTTTCAAATAAAAACAGTGTTCCCTGGGGGCACCTCAGTGGCTCAGTTAGTTAAGTGTCTGCCTTCGGCTCAGGTCATGATCTCAGGGTCCTGGGATTGAGCCCCACATCGGGCTCCCTGCTCAGTGGGGAGCGTGCTTCTCCCTCTCCTCCCTGCTCATGCTCTGTCTCG